ATAGTGGTTACCTTGAAGATAGCCTTCTGAGTGCTAGAAAAGTTCTATATTTTGATCTGAGAAGCAGTTACATGGGTATAATTACATATAACATTTCACTGAGTTATATCCCTAAGATTATGCTTTACTTCATATATATTATAACTCAAAAAAATTTAAAAATCTATGTATAATTTCTTTTGACTTATGGAGGGTGATACAATTCAGGGAGCAAAATAAGAGTAAAGAAAGCCAGAACCTTAATTCCAACTCTTCTAAATCAGAAGGTATAATGAGGTGGTATACAGAGGTCATCTCTTCGCATCAGCATTCTCTTTTCTGTAATACAGCTAAAAACTCTTCCCTTTAACTTTAAGCTATTGAAGATAACTAATAAGACTGACTTAAAATCTCTTTGCAAGCATAAAATACAATTAAAGAGTTACATAATAAGCTGAGGCACATAAGAAAGAAGACTTACATTCATTTCAAGTAACCTGAAAAGTAGGGGGGAAAATAATGTATCCTCCAGAAGTTGCTTCTAACACAACTATTAAGGTTATAGACACGATTAGAGGAGTACACTTAAAGAGGAGTGGGAATATGCTTACCCAGACCTCTTAAAGATCTGGCAGCAGGAAAATATGATGGTAATACTGAGAGAGAGTAGAGTCTTGCAGACTGACCTATCCTAAGGTCAGTTTTATTATTAATAGTTGGGGCTTTAATCAATCGATGTCTCAATCATTCTTTACCTCTCTTGATAGAAAAATCATGAGGCTACCCTATGCTACTATTGCCATAACAACACGACCTAAATTAAGGGGAAATATAGAGAGCAGGGATAGGAAACAAAAATTTAGGAGTTTATAATTTGTTTCAGATGCTGGGGAAAAATATGTTCATCACAATAAAGGTTTTAAGATTTTATTTTTCCTTTTTCTCCCCAAAGCTCCCCGGTACATAGTTGTGTATTTTTAGTTGTGGGTCCTTCCAGGTGTGGCATGTGGGATGCTGCCTCAGCATGGCTTGACGAGCAGTGCCATGTCTGCGCCCAGGATTCGAACCGGTGAAACCCTGGGCCACCAAACTGGAGCACGTGAACTTAACCACTCAGCCATGGGGCTGGCCCCCAGCACAATAAAGGTTTTAGAGAAAAACATCTCTGTGACTTTGCTATAAGCCAGAATTTCTAAATAGGATAAAAAATGTTCTATCCATAAAAAAATAATAAATTGGACTTATTAAAATTTAAAAACTCTGTTTACTCAAAGACCCCATTAAGAGAGTAAAAAGGCAAGCTGTAGAGTGGGAGATGACACTATCTATCAATCAATTAATAAATCTCTAACAAAGGAGTTACAATCATATATATAAAGAATTCCTACAAGTCAGTAAGGAAAAGACAGACAACGTAATTAAAAATAGATTTGAACAAATATGTTATGCAAAAAATATTCAAATGGCCAATAAAAACATAAAAATACATTAAAAGGTGCTGAGCTTCATTAGTCATGAGAGAAATACTTATTACACCACAGTAAGATAACTCTACAATTGGCTTGTCAATAGACTGGGCATAACCAAGGAAAGAATCAGTGAGCTTGAAGAAATGTCAATATAAAGTTCTAAAGTTGAAATCCGAAGAGAAAAAAGAAGGAAAAGACAGAAGAGAACATCCAAAAACTGTGGCACAATTACAAAAGGTGTAACATAAGTGTAATGGGAATATCAGAAGGAGAAGGAAGAGAAGAAAGAACAGAAGAAATATTTGAAGCAATAATGACTGAGAATTTCCCAAAACCAATGACAGATATCAAACCACAGATGTGGGAAGCTCAGAGAACATCAAGCATGAAAAATACCAAAAAAAATATGCCTGGGTACATAATGTTTAAACAGCACACAATCAAAAACAAAGGAAAAAATCTTGAAAGAAGTCAGAGGAAAAAATGACCTTATCTATAAAAGAACAAGGATTAGAATTACACTGGACTTCTCTTCAAAAACCATGGAAGCAAGAATAGGGGAGTGAAATGTTTAAAGTGTTAAAAGAAAAGAATCACCAACCCCGAATTCTGTACTCCGTGAAATTATTCTTCAAAGGTGAAGGAAAAATAAAGACTTTCTCCAACACACAAAAATTGAGGGAATTTGTCATCAGTAGACCTGCCTTACAAGAAATGTTAAAAGTTGTTTAGGGAAAAGGAAGATGATATGCGTCAGAAACTTGGAAAAACATTAAGAAAGGAAGAACATTAAAGAAGGAACTAATGAATGAAAATAAAACCTTTTATTTCTCTCATTCTTAATTGATCTAACAAGTAACACTTTGTTCAAAATAACAGCAACATTACATGCAGTGATTATAGCTTATGGATAGGTGAAATGAATGACAGCAATGCTATAAGGACAGGAGGGAGGAATTGAGAATACTTTGTTACAAGGTGCTTGCATTACCTGTGTTGTGGTATAGTGTTATTTGAAAGTAGACGTGGATTAATTATAAATGTATCTTGCAAACTCTAGGGCAACCATTAAGAAAAAGGGAAAAAAAGGAGTACAATTTATATGCTGAGAGAAGAGAAAAAGTGGAATCATATAAAATACTCAATTAAAAAAAGAAGGCAGAAAACCACAATCCATAAAAGAAAAAAAATAGGTAAGTTGGACTTTATTAAAATTTAAAATGTCTGCTCTACAAAGACCCTGTGAAGAGAATGAAAAGACAAGGTACAGACTGGGAGAAAAATCTTTGCAAAAAATGTATCAGATAAAGGACTGGTATCCAAAGTACACAAAGGACTCTTAAAACTCAACAATAAGAAAACACACAATCCAATTAAAAAAAGGGCAAAAGATCTGAACAGATATTTCACTAAAAATATAGATACAGATATTAAATAAGCATCAAATAAGCAAAGATGCTCATCATATGTCATTAGGGAAATACAAATTAAACCAATGAGATATCACTACATATCTGTGAGAACGTATCAAATCCAAAACACTGGCAACACCAAATGCTGTGAGGATGTGGAGCAACAGAAACTCTCCTTCACTGCTGGTGGGAATGCAAAATGGCAAAGCCACTTTGGAAGACAGTTTGGCAATTTCTTACAAAACTAAACATACTATTGCCATACGATCTAGCAATCGCATTCTTTGGTATTTGCTCAAATGACTTGAAAACTTACATCCACACAAAAACCTACACTTGAATGTCTATGGCAGCTTCATTTATAATTGCTAAAACTTGGAAGCAACCAAGATGTTCTTCAATAGGTGACAGGATTAATAAACTGTGGTACACCAACACAATGGAATATTATTCAGAGATTAAAAAAAAAAAGAGCTATCAAGGCACAAAAAGACATGGAGGAAACTTAAGTGCACATTGCTAAGCAAAACAAGCCAACCTGAGAAGGCTACATACTGTATGATTCCAACTATACGACATTCTGGAAAAGGGAAAACTATGGAGATAGTAAAGAAAATCAGTTGTTGCCAGGGATTCAGGGAGAGGAAGGCAGGGATGACTAGGAGGAGCACAGAGGATTTTTAGGGCAGTGAAACTATTATTCTGATGGATACTGTAATGGTGTATACACTCATTTAACATTTGTCAAAGCCCACAGAACGTACAGCACAAAAAGTGAACCATAATGTAAACTACAAACTTTAGTTAATAATAATGTACTATCATTAGCTCATCAATTTTAACAAATGTACCACACTAATGTAAGATGTTAAAAATAGAGGGAATTGGTGGGGTGGGTGAGGGGATATGTGAGAACTCTGTACTTTTCCTTCAGTATTTTATAAACTTAAATCTGCTCCTCTCCCCAAAAAAAGTCTATTATTTTTTTTAAAAAGTAAACTGTATATACAGTTTTCTTATATTAATGTAACCAGCTGACAAGTTTTTCTGAGACAATGAAGAAAACAAAAAGGAAGGCTTTAAGTTAAATTACAGGTGAATTTTTGAGTCGATTTTGAGAAAGTTTTAAACGGCACCGTGGCAAATTTTCATAATAAAATGTTGGTAAAAATGTGGCACTATAGTGTATGAATACAGTTAATTTCGTGAGCAGTAAAGACCTATTTGTCTACAGTCGTGACCTATATTCTGAGAAAGAGATGAGCCTACAGTTGTACGATGAATTACAAGTAAAATACTGGCCATTACTTCTTTTATTCTTCTTCTGGTCTTTGCGTCTTTAAAGTGCTTTTATTTTATTTTATTTTTACTATTTATTCATTCCCTTGGATAAGCAAAAGACAATAAGGATAAACCTAATTTTAACGTGACAAAGTATTACCTCCATTTTTTTCTACTTTATACAGCTCTAAAATGACAGAGGTGAAAATATTTCACTGTGGCAAACCAGCTGTGTGAAAATGAGTAGCCTCATCAAATTAGGGCACATTTTCACGGCTAAGTAAATCATTTAAATTGTACAAAGGTAAATGTTGAATGATAAAGTTGAAAGAGAGACCTTACTTTGTCAAAATAAGTAGAAAACAATCAGCGATTATTCCATGTGTATGAACAAACATGGGAGGCACATTTGTATTTCCAGAAAGTTCAGCTAAGAGTTCTATGAACTGAAGAACATGCTAAGAACAACTTTAACATACTCTGTATGGGCAGGAACTTTATCTTATTAATTGTCATATTTCTAAGGCACGGTCTATAATAAGGTCGATATAGCTTTGCTGAATAAATGAATGAATGAACTGTATTTTTTCCCTAAGAAGGGAGAAAAACCTACAAATTAAAAGATATTTTAACTCTATTTAGCTATGCTCCAAATTTGATCCACATTAATTCCTTCTAAAGTTTTGAGCATAAGGCATATTTGCATGGGAAATGAGGTGCAGCAGGATAAAACAGACTTTACGGAAGTCAGTTAATTGCTGCTTGATATTTAGAATTGGACAAAATTTCATGTAAGAGTTAGCCAAACAGATGTTTTTCCTCCCTATGTTTAGTATGACTTAGGAAATAGACCTCTTACCTTATGAAATCTTCTTCCTCTTCTCTCTTTGGCCTCAGCTGTTTGGGTTGAGCCATATTAATCCAGTTTGGTAGAGATTTCAAGAGCCTGCTGATATCATCATCTTTTGCCCAAGATGCACTGATGACAAGTTTTTCTTCTGACTGGACAATGCCCCTAAACACAACCAACAAAAAAGAGACAGTTCAGCACATTGCCTAGAATCCAGTTAGCATTTTCATCTACCTTTGCTGCAGAAAAAAAATAACACCCCCATCTTTCTTATTAACATAATCCATTATCTGAGTTGGAGGCAGTGACATCCATTAATAGGTTATATTACTGGGAAACACCATTGCTAGAGTTCATTCTTAGTTTCTCCATTGTTGAGTAATACTAATTAGTTAATACTTAATAATACTTAATTAGTTAATACTGTTAATACTAATTAGTGCCCCTTATCACAGTTAATCCCGTGGGATCAATAAAAGTGTATGGTAGGTTTTGAAGGGATCTTTCAAGAAAGATGTAGAATAAATAAAAAGTGGGTAACCATATGAAAGAACGCTATTAAAGGACAACATAAATGGCAGTTGAAAGGTGACAGAGGTGTTACAAAAGGCTGTTTTCTGACTTCTTGGTTTAAACTACCAATTAGTTCTAATTGAAGATATTTTTTGAACTATGGACACCCCTCTATTCAAAGCAATCCACCATCATACAGAAACCTTCTGTCCCTTAAGTCAGGCAGAAAAAGTCCCTGATTATGGCTCTCTCCAGTGGACTTTGACTAGTGACCTAGAGTGACAAGCTTCGAGTCCTTTAGTAGGGCCCCAGTGTTAGCTATTAACATTGTTCTTACCAGAATGTATCTGTAAATTCATCTTAAACGTTCAAATTCAATTTAATTAAAAAGCTTCTCTTTCTGTTCAACATTTCTCTCTCTATAATTTCAATGGTCTAAAAATCCTCATCAGCAATACTTGGTGATAGAAATGACATTTATTTATGAAGGGAGTGTTAATTAGCTGGCTACTCCTCTGAAGTTGACCAAGACTCCAGGAGGTTTTCCCCTCCATCACAGGCAGGGATTTATTTTGGTGTAAGGGTTATACTGGGGGACATTATGCACCTCTAAATATGCAAGATATGTATGGTGTGTATGCATGTCTGTGTGATAAAACCTCCTTTACCCAATAGACGATTTAATGTTAGTAGTCAAAAGAAGCTGAAGCCTAAAAACCCTAACTCATGAAAACCTGACTCAAGGTAAGATGGTTTCATGTTGTAGGGAGCAATACTGCCCTGGTTCTCCGAAAATAAGCTAGAATAAATAAGAGAACCATAGTTGATTTCTAGAACTCTTCTAACTCACTATAAGCAAAAGTTTTCTAACGGTATCTGTGGTCAGCAATACAAAAATCAGCCTATGAACCTTTCCTTGGATCTCTCAAATTACTCTCACTGGTATCTTCTATTCCATTTTTTTCTTTTTTCTTTTCTTGAATGTTTTCGGCAAGATTTATGGATTAATCCCATAATCTAACTTTTATACTTGAGGTGCTGGGTGCGATCTTACAGAACGGTACCATCTCAAATTCTGTGCCAGATGGACCCTCAATGTTCTTTGGCATTGTTTTTACCTGTCTCTGTTCAACTTCCCCTCCCGCTTCCTTCAGAGGCTACTTTTTAAACCTTCGCCCTTTTCTTTATCTCCTCATTGCATATCCCCCACATTCTTCCTATCTGACAGAGAAAGGAGGGGATCTAACCACATACCTTCAACCACTCCACCTTTGATCTCCCACAGGAATATATTCAAATCTATTTCACCCTCATATTCACTTCCAATAATCCCTCTACCTAGGCTCTGGGGATCCTTTCTCCCCACAGTTAGCCTTTCCTTTTCTATATGTCTAGTATCTCTCTGTATTCCCCAACCTATGTTACTTTTTTAAAAAAATGAATGAATGAATGAATGAATGAATGAACGAATCTCTTCCTTGAACCAGCACTTCTCTCTTGGAAAGCTCCTCTCCCTCCTTCACAGACACTCTCATCAAACGAGTGGCCTTCACTCAGTGACTTTACTTTCTCATTCACTTTTCAATTCATGAAATCTCTCTCTTGGATCTACTCTATAATTTAATTCATCTATTACTTATTGAAAATTGTTCAATTATTATATCTTTCATTTGGCTCTTTTATAAATCCACTGGCTTTCTGTCTCCAAAATGTCCTGTTCTTATATTACGGATTCCATTCCTTCACCTCTGAATATTTTTAAAGCAGCAGTTTTAAAGTTCCTTTTATGTGGCTCTATATTTTTTGGTAGTTCTTTGGATGTCAAATGTCCTGTTTGTTGCATTTTTCTTCTTTTCTCATGATGGTGAGTTTTTCCACGTGGTTTGCTATTTTGGTCTGCAAGCTCTCCCTCAGTGGGACTCGTCTTCTACAGGAATCCCACATTTGCCCCGAGTTTTGGAGATGTCACTTTTTGGTTTGCTTTTGTCTCTTCTGGATCTTTGGGTTTCACTAATTCCAAATAAGTTTTGAAGGTTTTTTTGGCTTAAAGCTTTCTCTCCCTACATGGGTAGTGCAAGCTGAGGTCTTCACTTTGCACATGTCACATGCGTGGAACTCTGATTTCTTTTAGGGTCCACTTTTTCTACTTCAAAATTGGGGACTCATTCTCAATCTCAGAGTTTTCCTGGTTCCATTCATGGAGGAAATAGCCCCTTACATAACTTCTGCAGAGATAAAGGTCCCTGTCATGCAGGTGTTAAAATGCTAGCCCCTATTTGAGTCTGGACCTCTGCTATGATCTGAATGTTCTTGTGCCCCCCAGTTCAGATGTTGGAATCCTAACACCAATGTGATAGCGGTAGGAGGTGGGGCCTTCGGGAAGTGATTAGGTCATGAGGGTGAAGCCCTCATGAATGAGATTAGTACCTGTATAAAAGAGAACCCACAGACTTCCCTAGTCCCTTCTGTCATGTAATGATACATTGAGAATCTGTGACCCAGAAGAGGGCCCTCATCTGGACCTTCTAGCACCGTGATCTTGGATTTCCAGCCTCCAGAATTGTGAGAAATAAATTTCTGTCGTTTATAAGCTACTCAGTGTGTGGTATTTTATTATAGCAGCTTGAATGGATTAAGACAACCACTGTACGTGGTCCTGATACCTTTGTGGGCAACTCAACTTCAACATTTGCTTGTTCCTATGGCTTTTAGTTTCTCTTTAACTTGCATCATTTGGGGGAATTTTCTTTCTTCCATTTGAATTTGGGTATCTATTTAAAATATTTTTTAAAAGTTATATATTTTTATTTGGACCTTCTATGTCTTAGGAGTAGGAAAAGGGCTTCCTAAATCTATCTACTTCACACTTTTGACTGGAATTTAAAATTCCATCTTAAGTCAATTGCAATCAGGGTTCTAGAACCATCATTCCTGAAACTGCTCTACCAACCCATGGGTATATTTTATTCTTCACACTCTTTGATTCTTCTAAAGCATCCGATACTTCTGGTTATTCCCTTCTTGACATATTGCTCCTTTGGTTTCCACAACATCATCTTCTCCTGGCTCTCCTCCTACTACCCTAACCTCTTTCTTAGCCAAACTGACAGCTGTCTTCCTCTGTCCATACTTTAAATCTTGGTGTTTTACAGCATTTGGCATTTCTCACTTGGGCAATATCGTCTTCTTGCCAGACTTGATCCACCTATATTCTGATGACTCCCAAATCAATATCTTCAGGGCTTCCCTCTTTTCTAAGTCTTGGGACCTGCATATCCAAAAGCTTACTGGAGAACTCTAATTGAAAGCCCTGCCAGTATTTCAAATGAAAATGAATCAGAAGGACCTCATTTGAGCCAGTCCTGATGGCCTCGTGGTTAAAGTTCATTATGCTCCACCTCAGCAGCCCAGGTTCGGTTCCCAGGCATGGAACCACACCACTCATCTGTCAGTAGCCACGCTGTGCAGTGGCTGTTCACATAGAAGAACCAGAAGAACTTCCAACTATACAGAAACTATGTACTGGGGCTTTGTGGGGGGAAAAAAGAAGAAAAAAAAAAAAGGACGATTTGCAACAAATGTTAGCTTAGGATGAAACTTCCCCTGCAAAGGCAAAAAAAGGGAACTCATTTATTATCTACCTCTCCCTCTCTCACTAAACCTCTAGCATTCCCTATTTTGGTCAACAGTCCAACCATCTATCCTGTCAGTCAAGAACTCAGGGTCATCCTAATCACCCATAGTCACCAGATCCCACCATTTCACCTCCTTAGTATCTTATAAACCTGTCAATTCCTGTCCAGGTGAACTGCCATTGACCTATATTTAGATCCTCATCATTTCTCACTTGGACTTGGCTATAACCTTGTAACTGGGCTTCTTGAGTGGAGTTTCAAGACCATCAGTCCAACTCGCCACACTAGTCAGAAGAGTCATTTTTCTAAACTATAAATCCAATCACGTTATTCTTCTTAGAACTCTTCACTGATTCCTAATCCCATAGGAGACCAAGATCATACAAGACCAAACTCAGAAAGGCATCTACCTTTTCAGCTTCATCTCCTGCTACCTCTTTCCTCCTCTGTCTCTGTTCACTACTCCCAGCCAAACCCTTGCTTGTGTTGGCTGAACACCCTATACATGAGTATTCTAGAGTTTTTGAATGGGATATACTGTTTCCTGCCACTGTGTATTACCTCTGCCTAGAAAGCCTTTTTCTCATCCTGCTTGTTTGCCTCTACTGATTAAGCATTACCTCGACTCCTCTCTTGGGATAGCTGAGTCCTCTCTTTTGTGCCTCATCACCCTTATACCAGGGATTTTCAACCTTGATTGCATATTGGGATCATCTGGGGAGCTTTTAAAAAAAAACTAGATGATCAGGCCACACACAAGACCAAGTAAGTCAGAACCTCTTGGGGTGGGACTCAGGCATCAGAATTTTCAAAAGTTTCCCAGGTGATCCCACTGTGTACTCAAGGGTGAGAACCACTGCCTTCAACATGCCTTTCCTATCACTGGTCCTACTACGCTTCTTTACATGTTGGGATCCCATACCAGATGATGAGTTTTCTGAAGGTAGAGTTGATTTCTCATTAGTTTTTGTGTCCCCAGGGTTTAGCACAATACCTGGTATTTGGAAAGTACATAAG